CCACCATAGCCATTCTCCTTTCTCCCCTTACTAACAGAACAGTCTTATTTACACTATTTCAGTGTGTTTTCCCAGAGTTCTTTGTCATATGACTCAAGTGCAGTTGAGTAACAAAAGTTAATCACAGTAGTTTAAACAAGTAAGTGGTTTCACTGTTCTCCACAAGAAGATGTTCAAGTATAGACCATCTAGCACCATTAGCATGAATGCATTAAGGATTTAAGCTCTTTTGCCCCTTGTGCCCGTAGTTAGCATGTGATCTTCAACCTTATGGTCATAAGATGGCTGCTATACTTCCAGGCGTCACATCTATGCTCCAAGGGTAGGGTTGCTAGATAAAATATACCTTACCCGGTTAAATTCGAGTTTCACATATCACTGAATATATTTTGTTAGTATAAATATGCCCCCAAATTGTATGAGACATAATTTATATTAAAAGTTATTTGTTGTTTATCTGAAATTCAAATCCAAGTGGGCAAACTTATATTCTTATTTGCTAAATATGTAAGCCTTGCCTGTGAAGGAAGAAGAAGAAATAGCAAAGGGGCTGTCTTCTAGAGAGGCTTTATCTAGGAAGGGAGTCTGTCCGCAGGTTCTTTCTCTGAGCTCTTTAGCTAGAAATAGCAGAAGGGCCCCCGGGGAAGTGCTTATTTTTAGTCAGCTACAGTGCAGCCCTGAATCAAATCAGAGCAGAAAGGAGAACGGGTATCAGGCAGGAAGCTTGTTGCATCCTCCCTAAATGTCTTCTACCTGCCATTCCCCACCCAGAATAGTTACATGCAAGGGTGACATACAAAATGTTTAACAACCGTTGACCACAAAGACCGATGCCCGCCATTAAAGCCTGCCAATCCAGTCGTACCAACCCTGCGGATATCACTTTTTTGGGGGCGAAATTAGCATTTATTTCCATTTATTATAATTATAAATAGTCAAGTCCTTTCCACAACTCTTTATTCTTCCAATTTATTTGTTTTTATTTGTTTGGTCGTGCTGGGGATCAAACCCAGGGTCTCATTACATGTTAGGCAAGTGGTCTACAACTGAGCTACACCCCAGTCCCACTGTGACCCTTGATTGTTGACAGATTTTTTATTTCCTCTCAGATGATCCTTTCTGTGATCATTTTTCACATCCAGGTTTTTTTCTTGATGACATCATGTCCAGAGCCTGCTCTGAGAGGCCCTCCTCCCTCTCTGGACCGGTGTATCGCTCCTCTTTCCCAAGCACTTGGCTTCGTCGGTCTTGTGTGGCGAAGTTCATTTCCACATCCTGTATTCCTTTCTAATGTTTCCTCATCTTGCTGGCGTCCATCCTCCAATTCCTTCCTGAGAAAAACTGCAGGAAAGGTACAGTTTTGAGACATTTTGTGTCTGAAAAAAGGTCCTTATTCTACTTTCACACTTGGTTGAAGGGCTGGTTAGGACTGGAATTCTGTGTTGGGAATGATGTTTTTCTCACTTTTTCAGGCATGAATTCCATTGTCTTGCAGCTTCCCCTATAGCTGATGCCAATTCTTGTGTCTTATTCTTTATAGGTGACTTGGTTCTTCCAGCAGCTTTTAAGATCTGTTTATCCATGATGTTATAACACTTCGTGCAGATGTGAGTTCGAATAGATTTTCTTAAAATTCCTTTCTCCTGGGATGTCAGAAACAGACTTTTTCAGCAAGAAAATTCAAATCCTTCAGTTGTTGGAGATGTCCTTATATTATTTTCTTGGTAATTTCTTATTTGTTTTCAATATCTCTTTGGGAACATCTATTACTTACGATGTTTGGGTTTTCTGGATTGATCCTTTTTACTTTCTTTTTTTTTTTTTGTCTTTTTGAGACCTGGTCTCACTATGCAGTTCAGGCTGGCCTTGAGCTCACTTTGTAACCCAGGCTGGTCTCAAACTCGCAATGATTCTCCTGCCTCAGCCTCCCAAGTGCTGGGGTTACAGGCGTGTGCCACCACGCCCGGCTCCCTTTTTGCTTTCTTGTCTTGTCATACTCCTCTTCTCTTCTTTTTATATGTTTTTGGTTTATTTTCTGTTAACTGATAGATTCCTCCAGCTTTATGTTCTCTTTTACTAAAATTTTTTCTTCTAACATATTTTTAATTTCCAAGTGTTCTTTTCTATTCTTTGAAGTTCCAGGTTTAAATAGTCTGTATTTGTTGTTAAGGTCTTTTCTTTTGTTTCTTTTCTTTTTTTGAGATAGGTTCTCACTATGTAGCCCAGGCTGGCCTTGAACTTGGGGTGATCCTCCTACCTCAGTCTCCCGAGTGTTGGGATTATAGCCACACCTGGCTTTTCTTGTCTCTTTAGAAATGTGAATTGTACAGTTTTTTATGGTTTCTTTGGCTTCCTTTATTGCTTTTGTCTCCTTGGACTTCCTCTTGTTTGTTTTGGTCTCTGGCATTCTGGAGATGCCTATTTTGGAGTGGAGCTGTATTCCTATTATTTTTAGTAATAAAGTATCATCTTATTAGCATTACAGCTCAGAGCTGTAATTCATGTGGACGGGCTAGTTGTGTGGACTGAGGGACTTACAGCAAGTGATTGGATGGAGTCCTGTCCATTTCCAAATGGAGAATCTATAAATCCTCCAGTCTCCTGCCTGGAGAGCTTAAGTTTCCTTCACAGGTCTTTTTAACCTTTTCAACTTCTGGAGAAGGAGGGGCGTTCTGGGAGAACCTAGAAAGGAGATCTGAGAACTTACCCCACTCCTTAGGGGTTCCCACCCGCTGCCATCTTCAGTGCTGTACTACACTGTGGTCTTAGGTGCACCTACTCCTTCAGCTCTCCTCTTCTCAAAAAAAAATTTTGAGAACCATTATACATAGGTAGACGCTATCTAACCCTTACAGGTTCAGGTAAAACTTTTTTAAAAACTACCTACTTCTAATGTTTGCTTACTTATTTATTTGGTGTGGGGGGGAGGGGATTGAATCCAGGTCCTCACACATGCTGGGCAAGTACTCTATCACTGGGCTACCTCCCGAGGCCTATTTATTTTTCACTGCAGAACAATTTTCAAGCATAACAAAAGTAGAAAAAATGATGACCCTTTTTATCTATAATTAATATTTATTGGTTAGCTCAGGTTTTCTAATTAGTTGACTTTCCCTTTTTTATTATTTTTACACTAAAGTACCTTTTTTATTAAACTTATTATTTTTGTTTTTGGTTTTTTTATTTTTTATTTTTTTGGTACAGGAAATTGAGCTTATGACCTCAGGCTTGCCAGGCAAACTCTTATGCCTTTGAGCTATATCTCTGGCCACTTTATTAAACTTATAGCTCAGAGCTATAGTTATAAAAACAGATTGTCTGGATTTGAATCTGTGCTTCTCCACTTAGCCAGTGATTAATCTTTCTGTGCCTCAGTTTCCTCTTTAAAATGAGAATAATAAGGCAGAGGATGTAGCTCAGTAGTAGCGCACTTAACTATCATTTGTGAGGCTGTGAATTTCAACTCTATAACTGTAAAAATCAAATAAAAGTAATAATAAGGTTATTTATCTTGTAGCATTACTGAGAAGATTAAGTCATACATGCAAACTACTTAAAGCAGTGCCTGGCACATCATAATAGTACCAATTATTGTTTAAGTTTAACATTATTTGCATAAAGCTTTTCATGGCATTCTTTTGTTATTTTAAGTTATCATATTTACAGTTAAGGCCCTTTTTCATTTCCAAAGTTGTCTCCTTGTGAGTATTCTCCTTTCTTTTTGATTAATCCCCACCCCTGCCTGTATCAGGGAGTGAGCTTAGGGCCTTTACACGGAGCTACATCCCCAGGTCTTTATATTTTTTATTTTCACACAGGATCTCTCTTAAGTCACCGAGTTACCCAGTCTAGGCTTGAATTTGTGACTTTCTTTCCTCAGCCTTCCAGATAGCGGGAATTATAGGCGTGACCACCTCTCCGGGCTTCTTTTTGTTTGTTTGTTTGTTTGTTTGTTTGTTTTTCTCCGGTACCGAGAACCGAACTCACGACCTTGCGCTTGCCAGGCAGGCGCTTTTGCCGCTGAGCTAAATCCCCAGCCCTCTCCGGGCTTCTTGATTAACTTTGTATAGCTAGCCTTTTTGTTGGTCTTTCCAAATAACTGTCTTGGGATTTGTTAACCATCTTTATGCTTCATTGTTTTTGTTTCATTTTTTCCTGCTTTTATCTCTTATACGTACAGTGTCCCACTCTTTGATGGTTTTATTTCTTGTTCTTTTTCTGCCTCTTTAGTTGAACACTTATCACATTTGCTTATCCTCTCTCTTTCTTCCTTCCTTATAACTTTGAATGAAGCAATTGAATTTATGTATTTTAATGAATATACTTTGTGAAAAACAGTGTCCGGTCCATAGTGGAGAAAGATGAAAATAATAGCACGAAGCTACATGATAAATGTTACATAGTCACAACTTTTAGCTAGCCGTTGAACAGCAAGGAAAAAATTGTATTAACTCACTTAAGAGAAGAAACACCAGCTACTTATTAAAATCATAACTGTTCTTTCCTTTTTTCTTATTCCAAATATGCTGTATTCCACAAACTTCCATATGTAGTGACTATAGATGTTGCATTCCAAATAATTATTTCCATTGTGGTTTCCTACCAAACCCATGATTAAAAATTATTTTTAATACATGTACACACATTATAGAAGTATATTAAATTTACTGAGGCTTTCTATGGCGTACTAGGGATGCTTTTTGTAAATGTTCCATTCATACCTGAAAAATACATGTTCAGCGTTTATGTCTCTGGCCATACCACCGGAACACATCTGATCTCATCTGATCGTGGAAGAAACATGTTCTGTGTTTGTTAGAAATATATACAGTATATTATTATGTTATGTTTCATATACATTTTTAGATTCTTGTTTTACTTTATTTTTTTCATGTGTATTAAAGTCTTCTAATGTAAGTATGGATTTGACAACTCCTTCTTGAAATCCTGCCCTTTTCCATTACATACATTTTGAAGCTATGTTCATCTTTTCTTTGTAGTCATGAAGGTGAAAGAGGAGAAGGCCCATGTAGGAAAGCTGGACCCCACAAAGTATAGGAGGAGATGTCTGGATCAAGGTAAAGACATTCTGAGAACTTGATGTAGATCCCAGGAGGGTCTGAGCGTTCTTGGATGTTGGTCCGTATAACAGCGCTTCCAGCTGGAGACTGCAGAGCTCGCCTCATTCCATGACTTGCTACAGGCCAGCCTTCACCATGACTTAAAAGTGCAATGGCATAGTCTGGGTCCAAGTCCCACAAAATCAGACGTGAGGACAGAGGAGGTAGACAGGAAGAACGTTCATTAAGAAGAGAGAAATAGCTCCCAATAATTGAGAGGGGACCTGAAAGTGGGTTGCCATGGGGACTCTTTGTCTAGGAGTTTTTAGACTAAAAAATGACCAGGGTTCACACCACTCCAAGTCAAACTAAGGGCCTATAGGACCAAAACAAGTTTATTTAAACTAGAAATGGGCTGAGAAATTGAGGCACATAGCAAGCATATGTCTGCAGGTGCCTATTGGCCTCTATCTTATCTAAGCAGTTTATTAAAAGAACAAAATGAGAAGGAAAAAAGCATTTTTCAGATATGTAGGAGTAGATGTTGATATAGTGATCATCCGTCACCTTGCTGTTACATCCTGGAGTTCATTGTCCATCTGGTTCTGAATTCTTGACTTCAGGCTCCTGCTTAAGTAGGTGTGGTCATTCTGATTCTACCTTGGGCCCACTGCCTCCCTAGCATCCTGCTATCTTCTACCTAACTTGCTTGTTTATAGTAAAAGGACCACAGGATTGAGCAGGGGACAGGAAACTGGCAGTTGTACCTTATAAATTAGGGCATGGCTTTCCCAACACAAATTCACCTAACTTTACCAGATCCACAAACAGTGATTCATACCAAATATCAACACATTGCCGATTCTGAAAATGGTAGCTCAGAACCAGTGCAAGAAGGTAGTGAGGGAGGTTTTTGTTTTGTTTTGTTTTGTTTTTGCTCCAATAGTGACTCAGAGGCTCCCAAGTCTCCCCTACAGATGGCCCCTGACTTTTTCTTTTTAGGATGGTGCAAAAGTAAAGGAATTCAGCAGAAAACCCTGCTTTGAATGGTCATCTTTCCTGACCTAGCAATACATTGTGAAATACTCTTTTGTGATGCTGGGCGGCTCCAGAGTCACAGCTTCCTGTCTGCCAGGTAATCACTGGTGCTCTCTAGGTAGGATGCTGGGAAGGTGCAGTGTATTTAGTAGATTTTCAACTTAGGATATTTTCAATTTACAATGGGTTTATCTACATGTAACTCCATCCTATGTTGAGGAGCACCTGTACTCTACAAAGAAGCAGGCACAGGACTTAAGAAGAGACACCAGAGGACCTTCCGCCCCATCATCACCCCAGTCACTTGGAGGGAAGTACCTTGCTCTCCAGCTGGATGCTTGTTGAGCTGCAGACCGTACAGGGCCACCCTGCAGCTGTTGATGGATCAGCGGCAATGCAGTGAGGAATTCACAGCAGCGTTTGGCATGTGTTCTGAGCCCAACAGTATAAGATGCTCACAGTGAGAGAAGCAATCTGGCGTAGCCAGGAAGGAGAATTTGTACATGGAAGAGGACACGTACAAAGCCCACCGCCCCCAGTTCACCAGCTGAACAGTCATGCTCTGATTATTATGATAGGAGCTAGGAGAAGATGAAACAAGTTTAGATCTGAAACAGAAAGAAAAATATTTCCTTGTGTTCTTTAATAAGTACATAACTTATGTACATAAACTTGTGATTACAATGATCATAATCATTTTCCTACTCATGATTCCATTCTATTGCCTCATAAACCTTGCCAAGCCAATAAAGATTTTTATTCCCAGGTTATAGATGAGGACACAGAGCTCCAGAGAGGTAGGATACCTGTGGCCCCAGAGCAAGTAAAGAACAAGCTACAGCAGCTGTCCACTGTGTAGAGACTTTTCTGATGTGCTTGCTGATTTTCATTTCCTTTCCTGGTCCCAAGCACGGAGAACAGGAACCTAACATTGGAAAACCCAAGTATGCTAAGCCCTTGGAGTAGAACTACTTAATGCTGGTGTCCATTACTTACCTATAAATACAGCTTGCTTAAGAGATATAGTATAGTGGCCGAGGATGTAACCCAGTGGCAGAGTCCCTGCTTAGCATGCATAAGGTCCTGAGTTCAATCCTGAAGCTAAAATACTAGAAATTTACGAAACCTAGAGTATCATGTGAAAAAAAAATCCCTTCCGAGTGTGACATGTAAAGAGCTTCAAAATCATCAGTCCCACCCTTACAACAACAAAAAATCAAGAACTTTTCTAAGCTGCACCGAAGAATGAAGGCCACAGGGGAAACACCACCTGTAATCAGAGAGACAGGGAAATACAGAGAATACGGACCAGTTTATTTGAAGCAGCGCTGCCAGCGCCAGGGGCTGGTAGGAATACTTACCAAGTAACTTCAACAAATGACTGAGGGCTGAGTGTTAGCTAGACGAGAGTTTAAAACTCCTAGAAGCCCTGGGAATTGTACCACTAGGACCCCTACCCAGTTCCGTTAGTGAAGACTGTGGAAATCCTTCTCATGTTGGGCCAGGAGGAGGGGGAAAGTAGCCATTTGAAATATTCCCAGAGAATTATCCACTGCAGAAACCTACCTAACAAGGAAAAGTCTTCATCAGGGCTTGCTACAACTTGGCAGGAAAGAAGTTCCCAACTCCACCCTCTCTAGCTTTCCCGTTTCAACTAGGTGAGGGTAAAGTCCTTTTGAAAGGTAGAGCCCATGGTATAGTCTTGCTGAAAGATTGAAATCTTGTCACAGGACTGTAGAATGCTCCTCTCCCCTGACTTTACCACCACTTTAACAGAGCTTCTGTACAGTAACCGTGGGTTACAGCTGAAAGAGCTATAAAGCTAAGATGCTGTTTAAGGAGTTTCCAGGACACCTGAAAATAGCAGAGGATACAATAACAGGGACATGAGAATAAGTTTAAGTCTCTGACATTATTACAGCAAATTGCAAACACAGCCTGAACCCTAGCCAGAGAATCATAAAATCTCATGCTAGAGGTCTACCTCCTGCAATTCTATTTATATCAACAATATCTTTGATTTATAATTTTTGGTATTGAGTCTCTAACTTGAACCATCCACATGCTGAATATTAAATCCAACTGGCATTGGGACTAGAGCTTACTTTTTAAAAAAATGAATCTATGCATAGTCCTTAATTTATCACAAAAATAAATTTAAAATGGATCTTAAACCTAAAATGCAAAACCATAAAACTTCTAAAACATAACATAAGAGAAAATCTGAATACAGTAACTTCAGGTGTGGTGATGAGTTTTCAGAGACAACACTAAAAGCACAGTGCATGAAGGGAAACCCTGCAAAGTCAAACTCAATTAAAATAGAGAAATTCTCCTCTGTGAAAGATACTGTTAAATCAAAGGCCATAAACTGGAAAATACTGCAAAAGATACATATGGTAAAGAACTTGATTTCCAAAATATACAAAGAATTCTTTTTTTTCTTACAAAGAACTCCTTTTTTTTTTTTTTTTTTTTTTTTTTTTTGAAGGGGTTTTCTATGTAGTTCAGGCTGGCCTTGAGCTCACTTTGTAGCCCAGGCTGATCTCAGACTCACAATGATCCTCCTGCATCAGCCTCTGGAATGCTGGGATTACAGCACAAAGAACTCTTAAAACTCAAAAATAAGCAAATAACACAATTTTAAAACAGGCAAAATGAGCAGACACCACAGAAGATAGACACACAGCAAGTAAACATATGAAAAAATGCTCAAACTCCCTACAAGGAATGTAAACATCACGTACTGTAAACACGTACTATCAAAACACAAATAAAATAATCCCAGCACTCAAGAGGGTGAAGCAAGAGGATCACTGCAAGTTCAAAGTCAGCATGGGCTACATAGTAAGTTCAAGGCCAGCCTCAACTACATAGAGACCCTATCTCAATAAATAATTAAATATCAATTGATCACTCACAAAAAATGTGTTCAATGTTACATGTCATTAGGAAGTTGCAAATTAAAACATAAACACTACACATTTGTTAGAATGGCTAAACTTTAAACTAACAAACAAATAAACAAACAACCCTGAGAATACCAAATGCTGATGAGGACACAGAGCAATAGGAATGTTCTTTGGCTGATGGGAATGCGAATGATGTAATGTCTTACAAAGTTAAACAGAGTCAGACTATATGAACCACCAGTCATGTTTCTAGATACTTACCCAGCTGTGTTAAAAAATTATATCTATGTAGAAGTCTGCCAGAAGTCTTTATAGCTACTTTACTGGTAATCACCAGAAACTGGAAGCCACCAAAATGTCCTGGAATAGAAGAGTGAATAAACAAACTACGATACATCCATACAATGGAATATTATTCAGGGATAAAAATAAATGAGCTATTAAATCATGAAAACACATGAATAAAACTTACATGCATATTGCTAATTGAAGGAGCCAGCTGAAAGAGCTTAGTATTTTGGACTACATCTTGTTACTGAGGCACTCACTCCTGGACCATGTGTGAAAGCCATATTTGATCATCATTGCTGGGGAAAAGCAAGAATACGGAGATAGGAACTTGGCTCATTCAAATAGTATTCTAACTACAGCACCTGGGATATCTGGGGGCATTGCTGTGACTACCTGACCTTGTGGTTCAGAGGCCTTTAGAAATGGCTTGTAGAAGGAGTTTGGAAAGTTTTAGAGATGCTGGCTGGAGAAGCAGCCCTAGAATGCTGTATACCAAATCTAATGGGAGATTCTGGTTGGGGCTCAGAAAACTAGAATGCTGAGAGTAATGAAGCTGGTAAAGACTAGGCTCAGGAGGTTTCTGTTACCATGGGTGATGGGGTCCTGGATGGGTTTCTAGGTTCTTGTGCATGACAAACAAAGAATTGGATGTAACACAGGGTGGGAAGGAAAGAGTAGCGAAGTTTAATTTGGCAATAGTATGCTCAGAGTGAGTGGGCTCACAGTGGAAAGGAAAATGGCATGAGCACCAAATGCTTTGGGGTTAGGGAATTAAAATATTACACTGGATCTAAGGGACCTCCCCTTGGGTCTTCTAGAGCATGGGATTGACAACATGATAGACAGGGTGTTGAGTCATGTCAGCTGTAACTATTGTACATGTCCTTTCCCATAGTTTACTCTGGTATGATTGGATGTTTGTGATGTGATCCATCTACATGAACTTTCAGTGAGTTCCCAGTGAAGAAAGGTTATTACAGGTTATGTTGGCAGGTCTGGCACACATGCATCATGGTTTGAGATTTTGGAATTTTCCAGGGCAGCCTCAGTGGTCTCTCTTTTTTTTTTTTTTTTTCCTTATCTCTGCTTCTAGGTAGTAAAAGCCTTAGGACAAAGGTGAGAGGTTGACCTTGGGATGTTGCCCAGGATCAGGTGAATGAAGGAGAGTAGTTCTTCAGGCCCAGTTGTACTATCTATATTAGTTGGACTTCAGACCATGCATGTTTTGTTCTGGCAGAAAATTTGTCTGCATTTTGCTCATGTCCAGAGTCTTTGCAGGAGCCTGAGATTAGAATAGCAGACTAATTAACCTATCAGAAGAAATTTCACAGCAGCCCAACATTCAGGCCATTTCATGGATACTGTTGGTGGCTTTTAGGTAATTCTACACTGAGAATATAGAAGAAACAACCCTGAAGAATTATTTAAAAAGTTTTGAGTTTGGCCAGAAAGGAAGCTCCTGGTATCGTTGGGGCCTGCAAAGATGGAGCAGAGGGAGAACTTCACTGATAAAAAAATTAGTACTGAAAAGGAGCTAAGTACTTTGGAACAGGACAATAGGAAAAATGACATAAGGGGATATGAGGCACCATCATGGCTCCACCCTTTGAAGGCTCAAAGTTGCAAAAGTAAAAAACTTTGCTTTGAGTAAAGAGCCCTGGGGCATTATGTTCTAGAATGGCAGCAGCCTAGGGAATGGGAATTAATTCTGCAGGATTCAGTTTACTATGCTTAGCCAGCCAGGTCCTTGGATGCTTCTGCCTCTGCAGCCATGAGCAAAATGCAAAAGAACTTGGCTACTGCTCATGCTGGTGGCAGACCTTGGTGTGGTGCTGTTTTTACCTGCATGCAAAATGAAAGAATTGTGGGATCATGGAGACTTCTACCCAGATTTCAGAAGGCCTGGGATGCTAGCCAGTGTATCCTTGAGAAGGTAGTGCATGAAGCTGTGAGAGTGAAGCTGAAAGTGAAGTGGAGACCCCAGAATGCTGGAAAAAATGGAAATATGGAATGTTTGAGGAAAGCTGCAAGGAGTGGGCAAAGCCAGCCCAAGAGAGAAGCCATGAGATCTACAGCCAATGACGGCACCATAGGAATGGGGCTGCCTGAGTCCTTTGGAGCTTGCTTCTCACTATGGATTGTCCTAGGTGCTGGGCATGGAACTACAGGATTTAATGTTTGTTCTGTTGGGGGGTCTGTTTGCTTTCTATCACTTTATTCCTTCCTTTTGGAATGAAAATGTTTACCCTATGCCTTTGTATGTCAGCAGTATTTAACTTTTGTTTGAATTTTGTGGGGCTCACAGCTAACAGTTTACCTTAAATCTCAGAGGAGCTTTGGGGTTGAACCTTTCAGCAATGCTAAAACTGTTATGACTTTGGCAATGCTTACAGATGGACTAATGGCGTTTTGCATAAAGGGATGCCCATGAGTCTTTGGAGAGCCAGGGGCAGAATGTTATGGTTATCTAGATATCCCTCCAAACCCTCATACGCTCATACGGTGGGGCTTTGGCAAGGTGATCATACTCATCAGTGCAGGTTAGTCCACTGATGAGTTTATAACTAACTGTGATGCTGGTAGGTGAAACCTGGTTGGAGGAGCTGGATCCCTGGAGGTGTGGCCTGGAAGGGTGTATCTCCTTCCCTCCTTCGTTGATCTCTCTTTACTTCCTACTGCCATGCCCTGAGCTGTTTCTCTTCTGCTGTGCCCCTCTACCATGCTGCCCTGCCTTGGAGACAGACGACTATGGACTAAACCCTCTGCAAACTGTGAGCCAAAATAAACCTTTTCTCCTTACAGTTGTGGTGTTCGGCATTGTGTCTCAGCAACGTGAAGGTAGCTAAGGCAGTTTCCCTTCCAGCAACGACTGAGTTGGTTCAGAAATGGAATTCTGTTATTGAAAGGAACAGTTAGTGTTTAATTGCTTGATCAATCTTACATGCCTATATTTGTTTATCTGAGTAACCAGTCTGAAGATAACAACATGTAATACAACAACCATTGTTCATTTCCTATCACCTTGTTTGAAATTCTGTACCTTTTTATGGTTTATGTGTGTTCTGTGGGTGTCTTTGTGTTCATTAATTTGTTTTTATTATTTTCTCTTTAAAATAAAGTTAAATTAAATTTAAAAAGAAATGGAATTCTGTCAAACCCAAGCGTTTGGGTTTTAGCCCTGTCTAGGCACTTCATGTCTCACATTTTGCTTCTGTGGGCCCATCTCTTTGTTGGTGAATATTCTTTTTAAAAATGCCAGTGTTTAGTAACTCTGCTTCTCCCCTCTATGTGTTGTGTCCACAGACTGCCCTTCCGTCCATATCGGGCTTCCAGTCCCCAGTTATACTCAGAGAAAAGGTGACCAGAAAGGGCATCTCTCAGGCCTGCAAAAAGTCCACTGGGGTCTTCAACCGGACAAGCCACAACAGGAACTGACCAGCCCAGGGAGAGGAACAAGCAACAGGGACAGGAACATGGATCTTATCAGCAGGACTCGTGAGTGCCTTGAGGAGCATGTTCTGGGGAACCATCATGCTGGCGAGTTTAGGCAGGTGTGGCAGGCCAGGGAGATTCTCTGGAGAAGGTGACTAACACCCCACATGGCTTAGCCTGCCTCTCTGGCCCCATTGCTGCCATTGGTTGGCTGCCATTGCTGACCAGTCTCTCTGCTCTTTGGACACTGGAGTCCAGCCTGAATCTGCTGTCTCTCTCTGCTGATTTGAGATCTCCCCTCTGGCCCATTCTATGTGGATTTTATAGTTTAATTCTCAGAATTATTTTCCTTATTTCTAAATTCCTAAGGGCTACACGGTTGTTGCCCTAAGAGGTGGCCCTCATGTGGCAAACACGAGGTTGTTGCCTCATGTGTTTGTCAAAAAGCATGGTGCTCAGTAAACTGAATTCCTTGTTGCATACCTGCACCTTCTCTCCTCCCTTGAGCTTATAGGAATGGGACAAAAGTATCTAGTCAGCCTGGATGGGGAGGGCCCTTCAGGAGATTTTTCCTAAGACAACAGAACTCCACAGGCGTTGCTCCACTCCTGCAGAAATCACTTGTATGTTAATTAGGTGTCAGTGTTTTCCTCCTTCCTATGGAAAGAAAATTATCAATCATAAGAGGAATAAACATGCATAAGGCTTTGGGTGAGACTCCAACACTGGAAGAAAAAACAAAAAGAATAAAAAGGACTGGAATCCTTAGAGGACAGCTGTGAAGAACAGCTGTGATACTTCATTTTTCTAGGCTTTACTAATGTTCCTGAGGGCATGATTTCACTCTCAGTACACTTGAAATTTGCCTAAAAAGTAGTTTTTAATTGATTTATATTGTATATTTCTACTATTTTAAGCACGGCAAAAGTGAGTTTATTTTACCATCAACACCTTCAAGAGTATCAGATCAGTGACTGCATCTAATTGTCCCAATAAGAAGCCTGATATACCTCCTTCTAAAGGTCACCTTTAGAGGAGCCATCCCCAACCCTCCAGAGCCATGTACAACCCCCTCACTAGTGCCAAGTCCACCAGGGGCTGTGGTTTTTCCAGAATCAATGTGTCTCCGTGAGAGATAGGATAATGGGGAGTCATTTTTGGGAGTCTGGTATAGGAGATAAGCTCTGACTAAATATACACATATACACACACAAACATGCATGTATTGCACATGTGAAAACACACACACACATGCACGAATAGGACATTAGGGACCAAGAAGAAAGCAAGCCTGGTGGAAGACCTGCTCCCCATGTGAGTTCTGGAGGCCTCACACATACTGACAAGGTCTCACCCTACTGCTTCCCTGACGTTCAGGGATGAGGCTGCCCACCGAGGTTCAAGTATGCCAGGTTCCTTCTGAACAAAGAGGAAAGCACTTTAGAGCTGATACTCTGTGCTCCAAGGGGCTGGCAGAGGTGACATGACACATTCCAGAAGTGGCTGTGTACAGTGGCTTTTTGGCTGCTTTGGTGGCTTTTGGTTCACTTGAGAGGACATGGGTTTTAACATAAAAATCAAAGGAGAGAGAATATAGATTCCTTTGGAATAGTGGTACATGGGGTACTGCTCTATCAGTCAGCTTTCTTGTGCTGAGGGATGATACCCAACATCCACAATTTAAAGGAGGAGAGGTTCAGTTTGCCCATGGTTTCAGTCCATGATCAGTTGGATAGAAGACAGAGACATCATGGTGGGAGGCCACGGTGGAGCAAAGCTGCTCAGTTCATGACAGGCTAGGAAAGAGTATAGAGTAGAACAAACGAGGGAGCAGATATAGACCCCAAAGCTATGCCGCCATCATCTACCCAGGCACACCTGGAACTGTGCTTCACCAATCCCTAGGGGCGGATTCCAAAGCCAATCAAGTTGGAACTTCAGCCTCACTGCCAGGTATGTTGTTTTCATGGCTACGCATATCATGTGTATTACTGACTTGTCCCTGGCATGGTTATGGGCCAGGGAAAGCCTGAGAGGAGAGGAAATTTCAGGCCATGCCTACCAGTCTGGAGTAAGGTAAGGACCCATTTTAAAGAGAAAACAAATCTTACTGTTATCCATAAAAATGGGCACATATTTGTAAAGCACCAGGGAACCACATACCTTAGTTTGAGAAACAATACCTTAACTAACCATAATTTTTATTCCATGAAAGGCATCTTCCAGTTATGAATTATCACCAAAACAAAGTTTTACCTTTATATTTAATAAAAGAAATCTTTTAAAGATTATCATCAAAACAGAAACACAAAATTTAAAAATTCAAGTAGAATTGACTGACCTCTCAGAATACACCCCAAACCCCAGCTCCAGACATGCTGGTGTCAGGGAGTCGCAACGCCTGCTAATAAGGCCAACCGCCACAGTGATGTTTCTGCGGGCCATGGGGGCTGATTCGATTCTTGTCATCCTCCATGGGGTGGCAGAAGGCTCAACGCTCAGCCATGTATTTCTTCCAAGCAGAACAAGTGTCAGATGTTGACGCAGGTATAAACTCCCCTCTACAATATCATATAGCCAGTGCCCCATTGAAGGGAAAATAAAACAGTGCCAGAATAATTGAACTTGCACCTTCTGGATAATTACCTGATTCCCCACCCTACCTCCACATATTTTTTTTCTTGACCAGGTATGTTTTTCCTCTCTGAGTGTCCTATCTTTTCTTCCTTCCTTCCTTCCTTCCTTCCTTCCTTCCTTCCTCCCTTCTATCCTTCTTTCCTTCCTTCCTTCCTCCCTTCCTTCCTTCCTTCCTTCCTACCTTCCTTCTTCCCTCCCTCCCTCCCATCCTCCCTCCTTCCCTCTTTCTTTCTTTCTTTCTTTCTTTCTTTCTTTCTTTCTTTCTTTCTTTCTTTCTTTCTTTCTCTTTCTTTTTTGTGGGGGCAGAGCCTCACTATTTGGTGCAGACTAGCCTTAAACTCTTTTATGTAGCCCAGGCTGGCCTTGAACACTTGGCTCTCCTCCTGCCTCAGCCTCCCAAGTGCTAGAATTACAGACATGCACCACTATGCCCAGCTGTCCTATCTTTTCTATTAATTTGTCCAGACAGTCTGGGCAAGTATTCTAGTTGGCCTGAACATATAGTCCAGGTGGGAACTCTCACTTTGGAGGAGAGGGGGTATCCTGCAGAATGTGGGGGTCTGGGTTGGAGGGGTGGATATGGCCAGGCTTGAGTATCAGGCATTCTTTGTAGATGAAGGATTGAGAGGAGAGTACTGGCAAGGATCCCACAAGGCAATGTGTGAGGAAGGCTTTGTACCTGTGAGAGCACTCTGCCAATGAGAGTTTGTTATAATTCTGTTCACTAAAGTATAGTATCAGTGGTGATAGCTATAAAGTTGAACCAAATGCCGGGTAACTCACTTTTATTGCTTTTAGAGAGATCCACAAAGTCACCTTTAATGTGCAGTCGCACTTCGGTACTCGACTGCTTTGAGACTCATTGAATTTGGTACTTACTGCATTTTGACTCCAACATTTTTTTTCACAGTATTCATTGTTTGTTTGGTACTGGACACACAAGCTAGAACTGACAGTGTCGATTACCTTGTGACTCACTACCCTTTCCAGCCACAACAATAGTTTGGTATTCATTGTTTTTGGTACTTGTTGAACCTTTCAGAACTAATTAATGATGAGTACCCAGGTGGACCACTGAATGCTCTGGGGTTCCTACCCACCAGGATGGTTTTGGAATATGCGGCCATCTGTCTGACAGGTTACCTATGGTATAGGCTTGCATGTCTATATTTTTTTCTATTAGATTCAATTTTCTATTAGATTTTCTATTAGATTCCACAGTACATCTGGTTAAAGATCCTACTGTCCTAAAGATATTTGAGGCTTTTGTGAATCACATACAAACCTGCAGAATCTTGTGAAATCCCCACAATAGTAAAGACCTGGGCAACTTCTGGCCCTCAATCCTCCAACAGGGCAAGGGTAGGAAAGAGACCAGTCCAGGCCTCTGGGTCTTTCTCGAGGTGACTCCATGCCCTATGAATGGAAACCAACTGCTTGCCTCAGAATTGTACCTTGGATCACCGTAGAGCCCCTAGGAGGATACTGCTCGCCGCTGGGGAAGACGGACCCACAAACAGATAAGCATAAATTCGTGTGAGGTGCAGTGATGGGGGCCTGCACAGGGAATTATGGGAGGAGCAGCAAGAGGTATACATAGGCCCAGGCAGTGAGTGGCGGCAGTGGGCAGGGGGCAGAGCACAGCCTTCCCGGAACATGTGATACCTGTGAGTGATAGTGATATGTGAAGATCAGCTAAAGAGGGTGGCTGGACAAAGTAAAGAAAGGGAAATTTTATATACCTTTTTTCTAGGTGTACTAACATATAATTATTGACAAGTATGAATTGTGGATATTTAGGGTGCAAATTGCGATGATTTGATGGATGTCTAAATTGTGAAACGATTATAATCAAGTTAATTAACACATTTCTCCCCTCACATAGATGTTCTTTTTGTGTGTGTGTGTGGTAAGAGCACATTAGATCTCTCTTAGAAAATTTCAAATACACAATACAGTGTCATTACTCTAATTATCATGCTAATATCTTGTGGTTTTTATTTGTAGCGATGATCAATGATGTTGAGCAGGTTTTCATATACCCGTTGGCTCTTCGTATGACTTTTTTTGGAATAAGATATCTATTAAGACTAAAATGTGAATTAAGAATAAAATGTCTATTGCCATTTTAAAATCAGATTATTTGTGGTTTTACTATTAAGTTGTATGAGTTCTTTACATATTTTGAATATTAACTACATATGAGATATATGGTTTACAACTGTTTTCTCTTATTCTGTGGGAATAATTTTGTTGATTGTTACCTTTGCTAGGTAAAAGCTTTTTAATTTGGTGTAGTACTTTTTTTTTCCTTTGGTGCCTGTCCTTTATGTGTAATATAAAAAAAAGCATTGCTAGGACTAATGTCAAGGAGGTTTATGGCTTTGGGTCTTACATTTAAGTCTTCAGTCCATATTGAGGTAATT